CGTGTGCCTGGATCTTGGGCGGTGCTCCCAAAGCTGCCATGGGTGAGCGTGTGGGTGAAGCCCACCCGTGGGGGAGCGTGCGTGCCGACAGCCCACGCTGAAGAGCTTGTAGGCAGGGCGCCTGTTTCTTCCAGGCCAGAACTGATTTTCTGACTTGTCATGGGAGTGTCGCGCTGTCCCCCGGGCTTGTTGGAAATGTCCACGTTAGTCAGGTTTTCTGGTTATTGCAGAGCTCTCGGGTGTGAGCTACCCACGTCTGGCTGCAAAAATATCTCGGGATACTAGCGACTGTTTATCCTTCTCCAGAGCGCTGTTGACTGGGCTGTCTGTCATCATGGTGAGATGTGAGAAGTGGCAGATGATGTCTTAAAATACAGAGTAAAAATATTCAATATCCTTCTGCCTCTTCTGGACTGCTGCCAGTTCCACCTCTTCCATCTGGGAACCGGCAAAAGTCTGTAGGGTTCCTTTGTTCCTTATGTTCTCCAGAAAGTATGCAGGCTGCGCTGCTTTCGGCACAGGTTACAGAAGAGAAAATGCATCTCAGCTGCTTCTTGTTAAACCGCAGTCCTTCGGCGTCAGTCTGCCTCTCAGCTGTTGTTCAGCCAGGGAGCCAGAAGCTTGTTCTTGACGGTTCTCCAGTGAAATGGCACTTACATTACAACCTGCTACTTACTCGTTTGCCAAAGCAGCCACGGACTGTGCGAGGTATAGATGGACACTGGTGGATTCTTTATGATCACACTTTAAACGACAAGCAAATCTCAGATTCTCCTTTTCCTCTTGCCTTCAGGCACGTGACGCTGACAGTGCTGGTGGAGGAGCTGTTCTGCTCACCTGAAAATGCTCTCCGAGTAACACGGGACTGGGACAGGCCTGCCTGTCACTGAGTGAAGTGCTGTACGCGCTCGTGTTACGGTGCTTGGAGAACTGCGTGTTGTGGGAAACGCAAGGTTTTGTGCAGTGGTTCCTTTTGTGTGGTGAAAGGATTGGGCTGCAACATGTACGTAGTAGCTAGCGACAGGACGAGGGGAAATGGGCTCAAGCTGCGCCAGGGGAGGTTTAGGTTGGATATTGGGAGAAATTTCTTCATGGAAAGAGTAGTCAAGCATTGGAACAGGCTGCCCAGAGAGGTGGGGGAGTCCCCATCCCTGGCAGTGTTCAAAAAACGGGCAGACGTGGCACTTCGGGACATGGTTTAGTGGGCATGGGGGAGCTGGGTTGCTGGTTGGACTGGCCTTTCCAACCTCAGTGATTCCTGGTTTTACTTTCATTAAAAAAAAACCCAGCCACCAAGCCAGGAAACATGAAATTGCTGCTCTCCCCTGAATTGGCTTAGTGGTGGACTTGGTAGTGTAGGTTAATGGTTGGACTGGGTGATCTTCAAGGTCTTTTCCAACCTCAACGATTCGATGATTCTATGCGTGCCGATGGTCAAAACGCTCCCCATGAGAAAAGCCAGCCTCTCTCCCCTCTGCTCCTGGCACCGGGGTTAGCGCCCGTGCACGCGCAGTTGGCTTTACTCCTGAGGGAGAAGGGGAGGTTTCCTGTGAATTACGATCCCATTGTGGTTTTATTCTGTTTTCTATTTATTTTATTTATTTCTTGCTGCCCTCAGCACTTCAGTGTTGTGATGAGATAACGCCAGGTATTTCAAAATCTGATTCCTGGCAGTAGTTTATCTCTCACTTGGTACATAAATGGAGAGGAGCTGAGAACATGTCGGATGTTTTCCCATTACCGGTGTCAGGTAACCCAGCTGCTCTTGGCCCTGGTGCGGTCTGGTCTCTTCCACGTCGAGGTGTTCCTGGAGCTGTCCTGCTCTGCTGTGGTCCGTCCTGGTTGTGCTCCCATTCCGCCTTGCGCTCCCCTGACAGGGCCCGTGCAAAACACGTGCCACTTGCTCCTGAGTTTCTCTTGCCCCGAGAACCGATGGTGCTGCCTGACGTTCTGCGGCTCCCGCCCCCTGTTTTTCTCCTGGCTCTTTCCACGTAGTCAGCAGTTACGTCCTAAATCTCCAGCCCTGCAAATCCTCAGCAGAGATTCAGCGGTGATTAGAGGTCAGGCTCGGAGCGAGTAATGCTGCGCCTCTGCGCTTGCTTCTCGGGCACCTGCCTCATCTCTGTTCAGGGTCAGGATGTGCACCTACACCAGGCTGCTCATGTTGTGCTCACTTATCCCTCCTTTTTGCTTTATTCACTTTGCTAGGCTAGCTAGCCCACCATGCAGAGTCAGCTCTGAACCGTCCCCCGTGTCCCGAAGAGGACTGAGCGTGGCATCCTTTCACTTTACCTGATCTACGTGATCTGCTGCAGGCTTTGTGTCCCCCTTCCAGGGGAACTGAACAAATTTCTTTGACCGTGTGGTCCTTTCTAGACAACACCCTGGGTCTTCAGCAAGCCCTGAAACGTCAGCGATGACTAGCTGTGTCTCCTCCCCGAGAGCTTCCAGGTTCCCAGGGGCTGCTCTCTGTTCATGCCGGCCCTCACCTGGAGCCCCGTTTGCCGTCTGCGGGGTGGAGCAGGGACTCTGCTCATCTCACGCAGGTGTCCTCCCTCAACAGGAACAAGGACACAACCAGGGACGAATTCATCTTCTACTCCAAGCGCCTGATGAGGCTGTTGATCGAACATGCCCTCTCCTTCCTGCCGCTGAAGGTGAGTGACCGCTCCTCGGCTGCGGCCACGGCCACGTCTCCCCCTCCTGAGCCCCGCGGGGGCCCGGCTTCATCCGCGCTCCCTCCTCCTCCCCTTTCTGCAGTCGGTCACTGTGGAGACGCCCCAGGGAACAACATACGAAGGAAAGCGGTTCCACAGGCAGAGGGTGAGACGACGTCCCAGCCCCTTCCTCCCCGCAAGCACGCGGCTGCCCTATCTCTGGTCGGCGTGGACTGGGAAAACCTGGCGGCTCCTGGGGTCCGTCCCCGTGCAGACGAGCTGCTGGGCAGGGCTTGTTCCCCTCTCCCGCAGTGCTGGAGCCTCAGGAGCTCCCTGGAGCGGCCGCTTCCCCTGTGCGGCGCCAGGCAGACGCGTTCTCCTCCCTTCCCCAGATCACAGGCGTCTCCATCCTGCGAGCAGGGGAGACCATGGAGCAGGCTCTCACTGCTGTGTGCAAGGACATCCGCCTGGGAAAGATCCTGATCCAGACCAACCACGACACGGGCGAGCCCGAGGTGAGCGGCACCCGCTGCCCCGGCCCAGAGTCCCCCGTCACCGTGGGATGGGTGACCACCTCTCCTG